AATACCGTCATTGAAATTTCTTACAATATTTTCCTGAGTTATCTGTCGTATCGTCATTAGACTGATGTCTATTCCTATCTGAAAGAATATCCAAGAACGCAGGGGGTGGTTGCTTAAAAATGGAGCAAGAGGAGAAGTGCTGTTGAAAGGAGAGAAAGTGGTTTGAATTGAAAGTGAAGCTGGAGGACAAAAAATTAAAATGGATGATAGATCAAGCTTTTGATTCCAACCTCCTTGATACCATTTGTGCATGTAAATGCCTTCATGGTTATGTGCTTCTTGTAAAATGCACTTCGTGGTGCTCAATTCTATCTGACGCTTGGCATCTAGTCAATCAACGGCGTCAATACATTCCCTGGTTTGGAGCAGAACTACTTAAACGAAGCAAGTAGCATAGGGCAGAATTTTCTAGTAAAGACAAGGTAGTCATAGAGCGCAATCTCCGTCTCCTTCATCTTCGTGTCTCTTAAAATCCATTTTACTACTCTGCCGTCATCTGTCTGCATTTACTTTAGTTCTTCTTACACTAAGACGGATGTGCTTTCTCAGAATTCAGGAATAATCTGATAGTCATCTGGATCGCCATATCCGAAGTTGTGCTTATATACTTTCCACCTGCCTTACAAAATCTGGATCACGCGCGTCCCAATGCGGCTTAGCGCTTGATCAGCTACGCAGCTATACTTCGATGAGGTGTCTTTCCTTTTCTATATGGGGTATAGATGCATGAAAATTGTTCTGCATGAGGTTGACAAATTTTTATACGTTTGCTGTGATAGTGAACCTCTGTCCGCAGGCTTTACGATCTTAAGTTTTAATTTTGAATTAATCTGATTAACTTAAGCTAATCACTTTACTTATAGTCTTAAGTTATCCACACTTGCAGATATTCAAGTGTGACATCTAAGTCGTCTAGACAAGGATCCATACATCACGCTCAGTGCCCCGAGTGAAAAACAAAAATACCGCACCAATCTGCGGCCTGGTGCTGCCTTGGTTCAGTATGGTGATGCACGGTTCCTTGCTCCATGATGTGTGCCAACTTCACCAGAGCGTCCTAGGGTGACCCATTCCATTCCTATTCGGCGGAGGTGGCGACAACTAGGCCATGCTGGGATTGTGGGCGTGGCACTGTGTCAGGTACTGTTTCGCAACACATCGTCGGTGTCACCAATGCAGCACTGCTGGTCATAAAGGTAGATACTGCAAAATCTGGACGTTAAGCTTCAGGGAAGACAAAAAGGATGGGAATCATGGTTATCATAGGCTGAGACAGCTTGGAAATCAGAAAGAGCGATAAATGTTCTTGCGTGGATAACCCATCACAGAAGTCTTATCGCTCGCGGGCCTACGCGGCTACAGTTGAATATTGCCAACTCAGACTTCACTATCATCTCGAAAATGCTAGAGCACTGACTTGGCAAACCAAGCCTGTATAATTGTTTGCGCTGTCCAGTTAATTCCGTGTGGACTGCATCAGTACTAGATCTCCTTCCGCGGGACATCATCCTTCCGAACCTGCTGCATCATCTCGGCTCATGTTTCCTGTAAATAGTTCGGCAACCCAACTAAAGAAAATTTCGATCATAGTCAACTGTAAACAGCTTACTGTCATTTCCCTTGTACAGTCGGTAGTAATTGTCAGAAGTTTCACGTCGGTGTCCCACATTTCAGTGCTTATTTAAATCACTCCTTGGTCACTGCTGTCAATCTCCAGCCAGTAGAGTATTTTCGAATCCTCACAGTGCATTGGTTACAGCCAAATAAACCCTGGTCACTACTGTACCTTGACTTTGCTAGTCCGATCTACGATGCTCAGCTCCTCAATCTAATAGATGCACTTCCAAAGTGGCTGGAAGTAGAGCTTGGAATCACTTCTATACTATCAGAATACTAAAATTGTTGCGTCAAATCGTCAGTTAAAGCGAACATGAAGAGCATAGTTTATCTTGTGGAAGTCCTGTCGCTTCTCCTGTCTGAATGTTGTCACGCGCATTCGCTGTACGCAATTTCACCTCAAAACTAAGTTAACGGACAAGCGTAGAGGTTCCTTGATGCGTTCACGCAAGCAGTGCTGAAGTTACGCGGAAAAGGGCTCGATTACTGATATCTTGCAACGGTTGCCATTCTCATATCCGACAACTCAGAATGATCCTCTACGAAACTAGCAATCACTAGCCGAAGCACAATCTGAATGCAGGCCTCGCACAGTAAACGCTGTGATGGATCCAAGGACAAGCAACGACGCGAAGGGACATGTGATGAATGAATAGTAGGGAGGATTCTAGGTTTAAAATGATCAAGTTGTAGTCAACGTCAAGGTTGGCAACCCCACTGGGATAAAGCCATCACAACCATCTGAGTTTTCGATGTGTCAAGAAACAATGGTGTCCTGATGAGTGTGCTTACCGAGATAGACACCCAGATATCGCCTCCACCTGTGGAATCTGCTTTACAGAATACAACGAAGATAAATGTCCAAATTATACTGTGCAATGCATTAAGACGCCGATTCGTCTGGTAGGCAAGGGCGCAGCGAAGAACGACTACAAGCAGACACACCGAATCCTCACTACTGCCTTTTCCATCGGGGGGTAGTGCGCTTTTGCTTCCTATAGCTGCATAACAAACTTCTGCTCAAAGTCCTTTCAACTCCCCTTTCTTGTGGTTTTGTTTTCGCTGTCAACATATAAACCGACTCTAGTTTATGCCCACTTGGTGATGGGCTGAGACCGCGTTCGGGTATACTTGAAATGCGTTAACACTGCCAATGACTTTACTTGCTACAGGCACACGTGACTAAGCCGAAGGCGTGACAGACGCAGACTCAGCATTGTGTAGCGTCCACTAGCCTACCGTCAGACGTCTACACGAGCTTCATGCACCTGTGGCGGCTCATCCGCGTCAATCCACGAAAGCACCTGTCCCGTAGTCTTCATCCACTGCTTATTTAGTTGGTGACCTTGACATGACGCAGATGACATGGCTCTACAGCTACCGGTGACGCAATTTATGGCTACTGTAGTGTGGATAAATCCACCTGATGTATAAATAAGTTGAATGAACGGGTGCTTAACCAAAAGAGCCCCTTTGATCACCCACTCTGATTTGCACCTTAAGAAATGTAGGAAACAGAAAGCAAAATACATTTAACTCTAAATCTCATTCCCTCACTTTCACCATTCCAGCGCCACTCAAGTCCTGTCACTGCAACCTAAACTCACTCTAGCTCTTACATAAAAATACTTTATTTTAATTTACTCTACAATGCTGACTATAACATGTGCTTACGAAAGCATGCGAAACCCAAAAAATTCAAATTTTTGTACAAATATATGCAAGATTTACTTATAAACATTCCATGCATTCACGGATACGTTCGTAGTGTATCTTTTCTGTAACATTTTATCAATGCTAATCACACACAATTGTAAGCGAATTTATGCATGCACATATTTTTTCAAAAAAAACTATGCAAATACACATTTCGTGCATTTCCAAACACATCTTTAGACGTATAAATGTGCAAAATCTAACGTCTATTCACCACTCGCAAAGGTTCACGAATACACACCTATTTAATTCATATAAATATGTATAAGTAAAATTTTGCTGATATTTTTATTCCACGGATAGAATTAGGCAAATCTGTTTGTAATATTTCACTAATACACTTAACCTGCCTTTGCAAATACATTCCAACAAAATAAAATACGGGCGAGTTCACAAAATATATCACGTAAAATTCATCATAACTTAATTCATATCTACTCAAAATGTTAGGAGCAAACAGTTCGTGAATTCACGGACCCATTCAGAAATAGATATATATGCAAAATTTTACTAAGTTTTGATAAAGAGCCACTCTGTGTCTCGTCCACTGTGC